GGGCAGCGCCCGGCCGGCCGGGCTCAGCGCCCCCTCCAGGGGGGTGGGCTCCCCCAGCTGCCACCCCGGGCTGCCCTTCGCCCCTTCGTCCCAGCCCGCCGCCGCCGGCCCCTTCTCAGCCTCCTCCCGCTTCATGCCCGGCACCATCTGGTCCTTCTCGCAAGCCCGGCGGCTGGGCCCGGGGCCCGAGACCACCCTGGTGCAGGGGCCCGGCCTCTCGTGGGTTCACCCCGACGGGGTAGGCGTCCAGATCGACACCATCACCCCGGAGATCCGGGCCCTCTACAATGTGCTGGCCAAGGTGAAGCGGGAGCGCGACGAGTACAAACGCAGGTGAGAGGCGCAGGGAGAGTCCCGGGCAAGGGCGGGGGCAGGTCGGGACACCTGGGAGCCAGGGAAGCGCGGGGAGAGCGCGCAGAGGCAAGGTTGCCGCCGATTGAGAGACTTGCAGGGCAGTGCCGAGAGGCGGTGGGCAAGGGACTCCTGGCACAGGTGGGAGAGTCTGGGCAGTGAGGTGGCAAAGGGAGAAGGGGGGTGTAGATTGCACACTCAAGCCCTCAGAGTCACGAATCCGGTCCCCACATTCATGAGATCAAGAAATAGATCATGAAAACTTGAAAAATGATCAAAGCTGGGCTCCTTTTGTTTAGCTCCATGGTGCATTTAGGCCACATTCTCCAGCTTTTAACTCCAGCCATGAGGGGCTGAAACTTTTTGTTGCTTTAATGGAAGCTTCTGAATGACTCCAGGAGCTGGAGCTTTAAGAAAAAAACAGAGTTAGCAACTGTGTGAGAGATGATACCGCAGGTAAGGAGATTGGGCTTGCAAGGGCAATGGGGAGTAGGGAGATGGGCTGAGGAGGAGTCAGAGAGGAGAGGCAGTTTAAAGGTGAGGACAAAGAGCCCAAGACCATGGCAATTCAGTGTCAAAGACAAGGGACCACACGTGACAAACTGTCCACTTTACCCCATTTCTCCCCATCCTTTCTCCCCAAACTTCATATCAGAACATAGTCCTGTAGCATATCTAGTCCAGGATCTAGCACCAGCTGTCTCAGAGGCAGGTGCAGGAAACCGTGCAGAAGGCAGTGATGGGATAACCTGTCCCAGGGAAACATTCCTCCTGCCCCCCTAGAGCGAGTGGTTGGCTTGTGCACAGAGTTCTCGGGGAGCCTTTTAATATTATTGGGAAGTCCTTACTTTACAAAGTGGCAACGACATTTCTATTTAAAACCAAGTTTTAAACTGCTCTAAAATCTACCTCTTTAATAAGATCAGCCTGAAAACAAGCTGGTTTTAGTTCAGGGCATAGGAGAATTGGATGCAAACTTGGAGTAACTTGGCTAAAGGACTAGGGATGTGAAGGACTAGTCAATTATCCGATAAGCCAATGCTTATTGGATTGTCGACAGGCTAGTCGACTAGTCACTCCCCTCCCCCCCCCCCCCTTTTTCCTCCCCTTCCAAAAAAGGAGGACAAGGAGTGGCAGTGCTGCTTGAAGCCTGGGGCCAGACCCCAGGCTCCATGCAGCGCTGCTGCTTTGAAGCACCACATGCAGCCAGGGGCCAGCTGGGGTGGCCCCAGGCTGCATGCAGCATTTCAAAGCGGCAGCGCCACATGAAGCCCAGGATCAGCTGGGGATTTCCCCACTGACTCCGGGCTCTGTGTGGCGCTGCCACTTTGAAACGCCACAGGGAGCCCAGCGTCGGGCTCCTCACGGTGTTTCAAAGAGCAGTGTTGCACAGAGTTTGTGATCAGTGAGGGAGTCCCCAGCTGACCCTGGGCTCCATGCAGCGCTTTTACCTTTGAAGTGTAACAACAGCTCTAGCGCTGTTGCTACACTCAAAGGCTGAGGTGCCCTATTGACTAATCGAATGGTCCATGCAAAATTCATGGCCTATTTGATTAGTCAATTAGTCTATACTTAATATCCTTTAAAAGGACTGTAGGAATATTAATCTCTTCCCCTCCTCCCCCACAGCCAAATGACTTGTGAATTTAAAAAAAAAAAAAAAAGCCCTTGCTTGTGATGCTTTTGGGGCATTCTTTAATCAATTGAAAAAATGATGGGCAGTATCCACATAAACATATTGCTCTGAACTGCCCCTGTTAACCACTAGTTGTCAGGTGCCAAGAGCCAAATAGTTAGGCTTTCTTTTTAACTCTGTGGAGCAGGAAACTGAAGTGCTGTGAGCTGTGTGTGGAACAGGAGAGGGAGGAGACTGATACTCAGGGGAAGGAGCACCAGACTAGGAAACAGATGCTCAGGAGTATGTCTCCTCTTCTGTGGCCTGCTACTGTCAGTGCATTTCATACATAGTATCGTTAAGCAGCACAGGCTTAGAGCCTTTCCTAGGGGCCGGCAGCCCCTTGTTGGAGAGCAGGTAACAGGGAGGCTGCCCGGTGTCATTGCGATCAGAGCTAGTAGAACCCAGGTCTCTAATATAGTAAGCTCAAGTATCAGCCACTCATCCCTTTGAAAAGGGTATGCCCCTCCCAGGGCTGCAGTCGCACAGGCTGGAATGTCCGTGTGAGAGCTGTGGTAATGGAGGATGCACAAATTGCAGGTATAAACAAAATGGTTTTATAGTTAAGGGAATGGAGAGTAGGACCCAGGAGACCTGGCTTCTGATCTTGAAGCCCCTCCACAGACTGGCAGTCACTTTGATCAAGAGTCTGGAGCTGTCCACCTTTCTGAGGTCTCGTGGAGAGCCAGCCCACCCCTGAAGCGCAGAAGGGAGAGCAGGAAACCCAGTGTTCAGTTCTGAGCTTTGCTACGGCCCTTCTGAGTTTCCTTAGCCAAGTCACTCGGGCCCATAAGTCTCAGTGGGAGTTAAGTGTATCACTACCTTTGAGGATCTAGACTTTAATCTCTGTGACTGGCAGCTTCCAAATCCAAGAACTATTTATGCTCTTCAGGAGTCTAACCAGCATGTGTTGGCTAGTTCACAGTTCAAGTCTGTTGTAGCTGGTTTGATGCTGATGAACTTAGGAGGCTTTGGAAGGGTCCCATATTCACCCTAGTGGGGAGAGACATTGTGCAGGCAATTCAGTGGGTACCTTGGGAGGAGATGGGTTAGAGATGCTGCAGGCCTGGGGGCCAGTGCTGTGCTTAGTGTAACACATTTTTACATTGTTTTG